CAAGTCTCCGAGTACCGGAGTGTCGGACGCTGAATCGGATCAGCTGAGACCACGGAAGAGACTCCCGACGCCGGGCAAGATATTGGTGAAGAGAGTGAGTGAGTCTACCTCCTTGGAGGAGGGTGAGGTACAAATCATGAGCAGTAGCTCTACTTCCTCTGTATCCTTCAGTCCGGAACCAAAGGGTAATGAGGGCCTGGCTATGGACTCAAGGCTTAGGAAGGCTAGTGGGTTCAGTGAAACCAAATCGAACTTTTCAGACATTGATAGGGCCAGTACAATGAGCAAATCGTATGAATCGTTGGTAGATTCTCGGTATGCTAGTGCGGAAGAATCAAGATTATCTCCAGACAAGATCAAGCCTGTGAATCTGAAACTTTCTCAAAAGAAAGCGCTGTCTACCTCACCAAGTCCATCGAAAGATCCTAACTTAGATCCTCTCCAAGAAAATGTAATCCTCTCCTTAAATCCACCACCGTCGAGGCAGGAAACTATCTTTGATGATGAATTGGAAAGAACACCTGAACCTCATCTGGACAGAAGTTTGCTCACTCCAGTGAGGACCCCTATCCCATTGATACCAACTCCTATCCCTTTCTTGGGATTGTCAGAATATTATAGTCTTTTTGAACAGAAACCTGATGGATCATATTCGAAGGAAACTCGGGATGAAGACAATTTTAAGATTTCTGAGCCAACTCCAGATGAAAACATTAATTTAGAGAATGCTTGCTCTACGACGTACTAAATCTCAAGGAGGGGAATCGGTTAGACCACTCAAACCGAAAAGACCCCCTAAAATCTTATCAAGAGCTCCATCAGTCGATCAGCTAGTGTCCAAGTTTCACCACATTGACCACGAGCCTCTCAGCAACGAAACAGCTTCCTCCAAAAGATCCATCTTTCAGCAGAGGAAAAAGAGTGGAAGTCCTCTAAAGAGCAACAGTGACGCTGGCTTCCTCATTGTCGAGTCTATAAACGATAGTGTTGTGACAGATTCATCGCTCGAAAAAGTGACACAATTTGACCCTGAAGCCCTTACACCTTACACTCTTAGCCCTTGGAACAGCTTCTTGATTGATGATCCACGAGACTTTAAGCCGAAAATTACGGGTCATAGTTTAGTATCCTCTGATTTCGCTGAAGCCTTTGATGCTATCTCGTCAGAAAAACTGGATGAAGCAGCAGATTCTGAGGTCATGAAGTTAAGTGATCCAGAAATAAAGTTTGCCAAAAATTACCAATTAGTGGTCCCCGAGCAATCATTTGCAAGCACCCTGTCCCCTGTCAGGCTACCTGGGATCGTTCCTTCACCAATATCACCCACTCCAGGTGATTCACCTTCTCCCTATCCCCCTTCTCCAGACAAGGGGAGTTTTATTGATCAGTATGCCAGCTCTGAAAACGAAGAAGCTCTAAACCCTGCCGCCCTCCGTTCCAGTTCACTGAAAGACATTACCACTGCAGTAAAACAGTCTCGTAGCCGGCGGTTCTCTGTACATAACATCATAAAAAAGTTTGACAGCTCAAGCGATTCAGAAAGACCAAGGAGAGACAAGAGCTCCTCTTCGCCTATAAACACTTTGTTTAGAAAATTTGTTGACAAGAAAAGAAAGAAAAGGTCAGAATCTTGTCCTCCTTTGCCGAGATCGCCCAGTAATGAATCAGTTGGTTCGTCTTATCGGGAGGCATCTGTAAAGAGCCCAACTGATATCATCAAATCAAACTCCAAGTTCGATCTACCCAGCCATAAACCGCCACCAGGCCTAGTCAAGCGTATGAAAAGACGGCTTTCAAAGAGCCAGTCTTTTGTAAGTGAGGACCAACAGTTAAGTGAAAGCGAAACGGACTTGCCCTATAAGAAACCTTCCCCAAGAAAACGATTTAGTGTTCTGAACTTCATTTCCAGGATGAAATCTCCTAAAAAGAAAGACTACACTTCCCTTATTATTGATCCTAACCTTGAAGTTGAGGCACCCCGTAACAACCCCGTGAACGTAGAACCCCCTAAAAATGTGGAACCAACCGCCCCAGAGCCTGATCACGGTGACTATAATTACGAAGAATTCGAGATTATTGACAGCGACGAAGAAATCTCGGATGCCTTGGATCAGTCGGGCAACTGGGCTAACTTCGACAGTGCGTTCAGTAACAAGAGTATCAGTCTGGAGCGACTACCCCCGGTCAAGGAACGTAGTCCATCCACCACATCAATTGCCTCGTCCGGCCGTCCACCTCCTTCTCCTGCCGCCTCATCGAAAAGACGGTCATCTCTGATAAAATCGTACGAGACTCAGACAAGAGTTCCCAGATATGCACCGTGTGTAATGCCCCCTAGCCCCGTATCCGCCTCGCCACCTGATATGTCACCTTATACTCCTGCTAAGTTAACACGGGCTCAACGTTTTGATTTCGATTATGCTGAAATTCAAGGGACTCAGGAGGAGAAATCTCCATCAGTTGAGAAGATTATCTCTAAGTTTGAGAACGAGAAGTTTGAGGGACTGGCACCACATCTTGCAGTAGAGATGAGCAATAACCATGCATTTCAAAAAGCAATATTTGACATCATTGAAGAGGAAGGATATGCGCTGATAAATCACCGTCAACAAGCAAGAAATGAGACGACGTTGTTGTACACTAGGGGTGAATCCTTAGAGGATCTGGTGGACAAAGCCAAGTCCTCCACAAACTTGAATCTCGAGTACTTGCGGGATGTGGCTAAGATTCAGCGATCTGAGAGTATCTCTAACACAGACATGATAGAAGGCTTGAAGTCACTAGTGGACGATAATCGCTATCAGGGCCCCAGGAAGTTATTTCTGTGCAGTTTCATGTGCAACATAGTGAAATCTCTTAACAACATGTCTTCCATTGAACCCGTCATTATAAAGAGAGCCTACCAGGCTACCATTAAAGATTTCAAGTCAACAAATGATGCCATTGAAGCAATTGAGGAACCACAAAGTCTCGCTATCATCACAGACAGACAAAACAACATTGTTATGTCTCTTCTGGAGTCTCTGATCTCGATAAGCTTTCAGTCGATCTTCGAGCGAGGTAAAGTTGATCGGTACACTAAAGTTGTTGTAAGAGAGTTGCTAAGGAAGGATTTTCATGACAAGATAAAGCACCAGAGGATGATACGTTTTCAAGCTTCTGTTCATATCAGGAATTTACTGACAATACATTTCAAGAAGTTTCTAGCTCGTCGTGTACCTGTGAGAACAGGACGGAAAATAAGCAAACCTCCTCTCAGAGTTGCTCAAAGATCAATATCTTTCTCAAATCCTGTCGAGGAGGCAAAACCAATTGTCAGAGTTCGTAGAGAGACTAAAGAGACAGACTTAGCAACACCTTCTCCATTAAAATCTACCAGAGTCTTCCAGCGAACCAGAACAAAGGTATACCGAAACAAAGCCAAGAAAATGGAGGAATTCAAAACTCAATACATCGTCAAGCTGTGCATCTCCAACATGTTCGAGTCAATGTCACTTCAATACCGACAGAGACGACACAACCGACGATACCATTTCACTAATCTCTGTGAAGCAGTCATATCAAACATTATAACAGAAAAACAGTTTTCTGAGCTAGTCAGCTGTGTGGTTCAAGAACTGATATCAAAATATCTGTACTCCAGAATCGCTGTCATCAGGAACTACAGCGAGGACATTTTTGAGAAGCAAGATGGAAAACTTGGGGAACGGCCGGGAAAACTCCAAACATTCTACAAAGAGAAAGCTCCCCGAGGAACTGAAATTGTGGAGAGGCTCTGCTACTCACCTCAACCAACCCCAGGGAGACCAGATACGCAACCAGAAACAAAACCAGAACCCAAACCAGTACCCAAACCAGAACCCAAACCAGAACCCCAGCCTCCATACCGCTCAGAGGACACTCTTTGTGAGGAGTACAACAACTACACAGACTTCAGCTGCCAGGTGTCACTCGCGGATCACCTGGACACCACCTCGGGTGACGACACCTGCCGCACTGTCACCTCCCCCTTCAGTGAACAGTTCAAGGAGTACGTTACCACCACCACCCAGATCATACCAGGTGATTTCGACCCTACCCCACCTCAGTCTCTCACCAGTCTATTGACTCAAACTGATATAGCATCAACTCAGACCGACCTCCCTCAAACCCCTACCTCAGTTGAAGAGGTTGTCCGCACTGAAGAGCCACGTTATGCTAGAGCTGGTTTTGTTGATGAGGTAAAGAAGGGTATGAGGAAAAGGAAACCTGTCGTGAGAGCCCTTGTGGGAAAGTCAAAATCTCTTGACAGTGCTCTTGGAGATTCCATCATATCAGATACTCATTCTGTTGTCAGCAAAGGTAATTTGGGACATTAATTGGGGTTATTTGGGAAATAATGCGGTTACTGGCCTACCTTAAATTCGTTGTAAATTTGGAATAGTACAAAATTTGGTATCATACAAAATTCCTGAAATTTCAAACCTGGAGCCAACAATGCACGACATCTCGGTGTCTTAAACGCACAATGTCTGTATTGTTCATTGTTCAATGTAAATTGTACATCACATAAAGAAATGGTTACTGTTATTTTAGGCAATGAAAATAACGGTTCGCTTAACAAATCGAAATTCGTCTCACCTCTTTAAAAATGAGGTTAAGAGGCTGGTCCAAACCATCCAGCAACCTTCAATAATATACCACCCACCATTACTATCAAAAAGTAGGTGTACATTCTTTAAATTATTTGTGAAACGTTATACAGTAAAGTTATGCGATCAAGGCAGATTTGTTCATCCGTGTTAAACGTAATCAGTTGTTGGTTTGTTTGTGTTTGTTCTGTTAATTTTATGTTATATCTTCAATTCGGGAGAGTGTAACTGTTGAATGTGCTTTTAGTTTTATTACCTATTCAAGTTTGACCTTCTGTTATGTTTTAATAACTAAAATTGTTCTTACCAAAATCTATCAAAATTATGTAGATTTACATTATAAATCCACTTCAACTCCATTATTTTCAGATGTTCACATACACAAGTCCCCGTTCAACATCAATGTCAGGACCCCCTTTAACCCGTCGTCTGTTCTCGCCACTGGACCTGGACTCATGCATGGTGTGGTCGGGAAACTCTCTCTTTTCGAGGTTAGAATCTTTTTCTTCTTCCACATGGTGCAGAATATCTTAGTTGTAATGATATCATTCTGATGTTTTGTAGTCACTGAATGAATGTAATTTGAGTCAAAACTCAAAACACAACTCTCATAACCTCCATATTCAGGTTGACTGTAGAGCGGCTGGTAACGGTCCTCTTAACATCAACGTTGAGGACGATGACCACAACCTGGTGCCGGTTAAAGTGTCCGAAACACAACCCAACTGCTACGACGTCTCCTTTATACCCTCCCAAGCACTGCCTCACTTTGTGACCGTCAACTACAACGACTTCAATATCAAGGGCAGTCCCTTCAAGGTTAATGTCATGGCCAGACCAGAGAAGGATCTTAATTTAGGTGAGTGGGTTTGTTCAAGTTCGTATTTATTTAGTTCAGTACAAATTGTAGACCCGTACATTTAAAGACCTTTGATTTGTGGCCCATGCTTGGGTGAAAAAAAAACATAACAATAACATGCGTAAATCAGCACTTAAAATACTTTGTTCGTTGCAAACTGGTCTGTGTTTTAATGTATTCCTATACTTTGTTCGTTGCAAACTGGTCTGTGTTTTAAAGTATTCCTATACTTAGTTCGTTGCAAACTGTTCTGTGTTTTAATGTATTCCTATACTTAGTTCGTTGCAAACTGGTCTGTGTTTTAAAGTATTCCTATACTTAGTTCGTTGCAAACTGGTCTGTGTTTTAAAGTATTCCTATACTAAGTTCGTTGCAAACTGGTCTATGTTTTAATGTATTCCTATACTTAGTTCGTTGCAAACTGGTCTGTGTTTTAAAGTATTCCTATACTCAGTTCGTTGCAAACTGGTCTGTGTTTTAAAGTATTCCTATACTTAGTTCGTTGCAAACTGGTCTGTGTTTTAAAGTATTCCTATACTTAGTTCGTTGCAAACTGGTCTGTGTTTTAAAGTATTCCTATACTCAGTTCGTTGCAAACTGGTCTGTGTTTTAAAGTATTCCTATACTAAGTTCGTTGCAAACTGGTCTGTGTTTTAAAGTATTCCTATACTAAGTTCGTTGCAAACTGGTCTGTGTTTTAAAGTATTCCTATACTAAGTTCGTTGCAAACTGGTCTGTGTTTTAAAGTATTCCTATACTTAGTTCGTTGCAAACTGGTCTGTGTTTTAATGTATTCCTATACTAAGTTCGTTGCAAACTGGTCTGTGTTTTAATGTATTCCTATACTTAGTTCGTTGCAAACTGGTCTGTGTTTTAAAGTATTCCTATACTTAGTTCGTTGCAAACTGGTCTGTGTTTTAATGTATTCCTATACTTAGTTCGTTGCAAACTGGTCTGTGTTTTAAAGTATTCCTATACTTAGTTCGTTGCAAACTGGTCTGTGTTTTAAAGTATTCCTATACTTAGTTCGTTGCAAACTGGTCTGTGTTTTAAAGTATTCCTATACTTAGTTCGTTGCAAACTGGTCTGTGTTTTAAAGTATTCCTATACTCAGGCGGTGAGGGTAAGATCAGAGTTTATTATTCAACGACAACCTCTTCTGAGAAAGTACGTCACAACTGTCGCTTCCTTCAGACTTTACTCGAGCGGAAAAAGGTAATGATCCTAAACGTACATATCTTTTTTTGATAAATTCATGAGAATTTTTAACTTGACGAGCTGATGAACATTATTAACCTGATAACCGCGTTCCCTTTACAAACATCGCATCATTATTACATGAATACCGTCAGGTCCATCTCCGAGAGGACTTCGAGCCTTGGATCCCTGTAGACATTGGTATGGACCGCGAGGAGAGGAACAGAATATTCGAGAAGGCGGGTGTCAGAATGACCCCCATGCTCTTTATTGACGATCAGTATGTTGGAAACTTTGACGATGTAAGTATTCTAGTCTCTTCTTTTTTCGCGTAATATTATGAACATTTTTCAATGATTTATATCGTCGTTCAATTACCATCCGATTGCAAGTACCGTTTAATAGGAAAAATAATCTATTTGGTGATGGTTCTTATAATATAAACGGATCAGTTTCAAGGAATAAGTTTCAATTTTGGAAGATTACTCTAAAATCTGTCCTTACACACAGGTTGTAGAGTTGGATGAGATCGGGGAGCTGGACCGTCTCCTCAGTTACTGTGCCCTCAAGTACCGTAACCTGAAGACGATTGAGGAAGCTAGGAAAGCAGACGAGCTCTTCCGTCGGCAACAAGCTGCCGAACTCGAACAATAGTTATTTTATAAAATTGTGCGTGTTTTTCTTTCATTCGTAAAATGGTCGGTTGCTTTAGATATATTTGATATTAATCATGGGCACTGTAATTTTTTGGCTGGTTTTACGATGTTAGTTTCGAGGATTTGTCAATGAATCCTTGGTATTAAAGACATCTTTGCTTATAATAAAACTTATATTATATTGTTAAATAAATTGGATGAAAATATGATATTATCATGATTATTGTGCGTGAGTTTATTTTTCTACTCTGTTTATTGATACCATAATATACCTAAAATTTATTGAGTTGAAACTTTCCATTTTCGAGTGAATATGAATTTGTACAAACATTCCGGATTAAAATTCGATTTTTTTTTCTAATAGTAATGACCCTTTTCCCATTTAATATTAACGATTAACACTATTTTGAATTTTGATTGTTGATGATAAGATTAAGAATTTATTGACTTCGAAAAGCTTCGTTATCGTTCGTACTTAATTAACATTATTTTTGAACCAATAGATTTATTAAACCTAGTTTTACCAGTTTTATCTCAATATACGCCGTCTTTAAATTGTTTTTGAATTAAATTCATACTACGGCTATGTGAAGCAAAATTAGATTAAACGTTCATTTTAAATAAAATAAACTCTGAAACTTCTGATGAAGTGAACTTCTTACGGATATTATTATGAGAATTATAGTCAACAACGTAGTACTAATATATAAAATTTACACTGCTACGCTCATCCTGACTAGGATGCTCGATCTTTACTCATTCTCAATAGCTAAGGGTTAACCAACGTATAATTTTCATACGTTGTATGACCCGCCGCTCCCCCTGTATTGTAGAAACTCTGCACTATAGTGAAACGACCGTGGGGGTCACGACGTGATACGACACTATAACTTATAGTGTTGTATCGATTTAGGGTCGGTTTATCAATTATTATTTGTCTTCATCCTAGGGGGAATCATCAACGTCGTCATAGATATCGTATCGTTCAGACTGTCAATGCAATGAAATCTACTCTTATCAATGTCAATCGATCCAGCTAGTGCATTGCCAATTGCATACATGCATGCAGTGCAATGCGCGCGTTCACGCTAGACTGTCAAGTCAGCATGTGCGCGTCATTATAACACAACAATGGTTCGGCGCCCGCGCGTGGCGTTCTAAAATGTATAAATTCACGAGGGGTGCTCCAGTTTTGATCGTTTGGGGACTGGTTTGTTAGCCAGTCAATATATATCAATTATCAGGCATAAATCAGTAAACAACTAAATAATCAAACTATGTCGATTTGTTGCATGGTTTACATCTTGATAAGTCTCGAAACGCGAAAAGAATCTCGACAATAGTTTTGTTTCAGAGGGAGATGTTCAGTGCATCAAGAAAAATACTGATTTTAATCCAAAAGGTACATATTTTGTCTGAAGTGGAGGACTTAAAGTGAGAAGTCAGTATTTTCCGATAAAAGTAACGTGAGCGAAAAATAAAATGAGTGTGCTCCTTACACTTTAATCAAAAGAAGAAATCTGCCGAGTGATTAAATTTATCAACAGTTTTGTTTTGTGGGTCCTGAAGACCTTGTTGTACCACCCTACGTTGATAAACGATCTTATAACACATGTTCACCGATGCAGATGGTTCCAGACATTATATTTCTCATACCGTTCACGAAATTTGTATGCAGACTAAAGACTTGTAGATCGACATTTTTTAGCTTCAAATAAATACCAATCATTCAAATGATCATAGCATAATGATACAGGTTGTGACAAAAAGTTTTAAAAGCGCATAAATTCTCAGTAGCATAGATAACAACACTCACCTCAATAAGATTATAGTACAAATTAAATAACATAACTAAATAATGGTTGTTTAAATCACATAACTAAATAATGGTTGTTTAAATCACATTTCTATGTTGAATTAAGTGATGTTAGATTTTAAAGTATGTTATAATTTTGTTCATCAATGGTTCCTTTATTTCACAGATTTTCTGTCTCGGCTAATACTTGATTTTGAAGTTCTCGATCCTCCAGTTCCCTTGAAGGTTCCATCTGTATGACATCTATCTCATTGTTCCCGCTCTGTATGTTTTCACTCCTTGACTGAATAAATCTTGCAATCGAAGATAAAACTGCGGAGGTAATGAGCCTGATGAGTCTTTTAACCTCTCCTAAATGTCTGCCTAAGAACTCTGTTAATGTTTTTTCGTATATCAGCGGGTTGATAACAGAGTTAAGTGGAAGAGCTATCATCGCATACGTCACATACCAGTCAGTAGCATCGAAAAAGTCAAGATTATGCATACCGCTTATAACAATAAATGGTACCCAACATAAGAAATCTGTCACAACAATAAGTGTTATTTTGTTCTGTAAAGCCCTATTGTCCCTCACTCTTTCTGGGTTGTGATGCTGTCCTGATATCCGTGAAGAAAGCCTGGTTTTGATATTGATAACCAAGTAGCAACAAGTGATGATGATGAAGCAGACTAAGTTCACACCAAGCATTAGCCAGACTACTGGATCTCCTTTATGATCAGTTATGTCCGCTGTACTTTTTATCGATTGTCTGATTCTTCTTGCATCGTCACTTCGAACAAAGTACTTGAATAAGCAGACACCGTCGTTACCATAAAAATGAACTGGACGTCTACTAAAAAGTCCGTGTTGCTGAGTGAACATACCGTCCACCTTATCACTGATTTGTTTCCAGGTTAAATCCATAGTGATGTTACTGTTAGTGATATTGTAATGTGCTTGAAGAACTTTAACATGTTTCTCTTTGTTGGGGAAGCCAATGAACACTTTGTAGGCGGGGTCATAGTACATTCCTTGTACAAAATATTCCTCTAATGAAGGTATCAATGGTGTAATAGCTATAGCTAGTGAAGCAGTGATAATACCTGTTACCAAGAAAGCAAGCTTGATGACGGAATTTCTGTTTACAGGGCCTGGAATACCCATTCTCTTGAAAGTCAGCCCATACATTCTTATGATACTTAAAGCTGTCATTGCGAAAAGGGACAGTTGTGATCCAACTGTGCTGACGACCCCTAATATGGAGCATGCTGTTCCGGTGTACCATTCGGCTTGATCTCTGCAAAACCCGTTACCATATACAAAACTATCATAAACGGACAATAGAACCAAGTATAATCCGATAAATAGATCCCCTGATCCGATAAGACTGACTATTGCCTTGTTAGTTAACATACTTCTAGTCTCACTATCCTTTAGAGTTGTCAGCCCACGGAATACCGTGTACGAGTTGAAGATCAATGCTAGTACACCCATAACCCAGCATAATACCTGTAGTATCCAGTTCCCAAGTATTCTTTTCTCACAAGCGGTATTACATTCATCTGAGAGGTCGAAGCAATCATAGATGCCGTCACATCTCTGCGATAAGGAAATTAACTGATGATCAGTTGAGCTTAAAGTGTTTTCGCAAATCATGTGATTTGAGCAGTTTCTTTCGTCACTCATGTCCCCGCAATCATCTATGAGATCGCACACTTGTTTGTATTCAATACATCTACTATTATTGCACTGGAAATAGTCCTGGTGATATTGGCCTTGTTTTGATTTTGTGGCAAACGTCAGAAAAGAGTTATTAGCGAGAGTATAGACTCGGTCAGGATATTGTCTAGGACATGAATTGTACAACAATGTCCTGTTTTTAATTAGAGGACATCGAGAATCTAGACAAAGGTCCATGCAACTGAGAAACAGGTAATATTCACCAAACAAACAGCTGCAGTTAATCTTAGAGGTCGGAACAATTAACTCTAACTTTGTTATTCCGAATACATCAATCCAGGGTCGTACAAATTCTTTTACTTCACAGTTAGAGTCACTGCATACATTTCTCAATCCTCCGTGATAAAGAGCGGTCTTATTGATCGTTGGGAAATCTCTAGCGATCCTACAAACCCCATTCTCTGCACCGTCACCACACGTCTCCACTCCATCACAGAGTTGTTCGAATTGAACGTATGGTTTATCACCTTTTAGACACAGATACACGTTATCGCAAGTGTCATTACTTTGTTTAAAACGATAGGTTTTGTCAGTTTGGTTGCCGCAGAAATTCAAATCCTCAGCCTGTTCATCTAACCTGTCCATACAATCCGTATCATTATCCATTATCCAAGAAACTGGTATTCCGAATTTTAAACCTATTTTAAAGTTAAACCTACGGACACATTGAAATTCCTTCGTCATGTATTCACAAATGTCATGAAATTCATCATTTCCATCAGTACAATCCCACACTCCGTCACACATCCTGTGTTTGTGTACTCTACAATCAGTGGAAGTAGACGGTGATATATAGTTGTTTTGAAAGTCATCGTCACATAACTTTATTTCTATACCAATCTCCTCATCATATTCATAATACAACATGTACTTAGAAACACTCGACAAATACCCATTAATAGGACAATACCCTCCTACTCGCTCTATATCAGAACAGTTAGTCTGATCTAAATAGTTGAGACAATATGGATAGTATTCCTCATCAAATACAGAGCACCTATAAGTATAGTTCAATATAGGTACTGTTGTAATCTCGTTAGCCCACACTTTATTGTAGTAGTGTATACACGAGTGTGGGGTAGTTTCAGTTACGTTACAGTCTTGTTCATCCTCTCCTTTATCACAGTCGCTGTATCCGTCACATATCCAGCTTACAGGAATACGCACCTTCTCCCCACCTAATGTACAGATAACTCCGTATTTATACCCGTTGCAATCACTTTCATCTATACAATATCTATAATTGTCGTCACATTTATCATTACAGAGATTAGTTCCAGTGTACTGTTGTGGGTCATGCTTTACAGAACAATCATTATCTACACTACAGTTCTGAACACATCTGATGTAATTGTTATTGCAAAACAAACCTCCACACAGCACATCTGTGTTTGTTATTTCTGTGTTTAACCCACATGCCTGATACACGTGGGGATCGTTCTTACACACTGAAGTAACACTGACAAGCTGATTATAATTATAACCTATACCCTGTTCAAAGTACACATCAGAGTGGGTACACTTGAAATAGTTTTGTTTCTTCTGTTCATTGAAACACAAATTTTTCAGAAACCCGCCTACTGTTGCTACTGTACAAATTTCTCCTGATTTTCTCAGTTCGCTCACTAAACTGTAGTTTACACAATGAAAACAAGAACAGTGTCTAGCCGTGTTACCACACTCTCTATAATACCAGTCATCACAACACGGGTTCTCCCCATCAGGGTTGCACTCACCAGGACTGTTATCAGGGAGGGGATAACGAGGACCACATCTACCGTCAGATCTCCACCTTATCTTACCTCCTGATTCTCTCCAGTCCCTCACAAAGGTGTAGTTTACACAGTTAGGACAAGAACAGTGCTCAGTCGTGTTACCACACGAACCATAAATACCGTCACTACAACACTGGTTCTCCCCACCAGGGTCACACTCAGCAGGACTGTCATCAGGGAGGGGATACTGAATACCACATCTACCGTCATACCTCCACTTTAGCTTACC